GCTGGAGAGAAAGAGACAGAGACAGAAAGTGAGAAATCCCCACCTAGGGGGGATGGCCATGCCACAGTCCTTTCTCCTCCATTTTTCTCTTGGGATCTTGGGGGCACACACACACATGCTCCTGGCATAAGTTTTAAGTTGTTGGGTTGGGGACTTGAACCACAGTTGACCATGTGGGAGACCAGTGACACAGCCATTATGCTAGCTGCTTGGTCCCCCTATTATTATTATTATTGTTATTTTAATAATAGCTTAATAGAGGGGCCAGCAAGTGGCGTGGTGGTTAAAGGTGCTGGATTCTCACATAGCCAACCACGGTTCAAGTCCTGGACCTGGTGGCTTGCTTTCTCACTTTCTCTCTCTCTCTCTCACTCTATCCCTCTCTGGTCAAATTAAGATAGATAAAGTTAAATACAATAATTCTTTAAAAAAAATAGTAGCTTAATAGAGAAAGAAGAATTTCAACTGAGCAACACTGAAAAAAAAAACACACACACATATACACACAACAAATATTTTAAATTTCAAAATGTTAAGATCGGTTATCAAATTTTCAGTTTACAAAGTATAGCAGCAGGATTAAGGAGTTACCTGATAACCACACTGCCAGGTGTGTTTGTTGCTATGTTCTCCACAAATGATCCATTTGTTTTTGATGTTTACATATTTATTTCCTTCATATGGAGAGGACACCCTTGAATGGGGTCTTCACATTATGATCCTCTCCCAATCCTGCTAGCTAGAATTGTGGGCATACCCCAGAATGTTCAAATAGAGTCAGGACCTTCCCATGTGGTTTCCGGCTTGGCACAGCAGCACCTGCTGCCAGTGCCAGAGTGGCAGGGCCACCACCAATTATCTTTCAGCCCAGTCTAGTCTTTGCTGCTTGACTATCATTTCAGTTAAAAAGACTGGCTGGAAAGGGATATAGAGAAGATGGACATATCAGAAAGTGATATGATAGCTAGACTTGAAACTCTTGCCAAAAGCTAGACCCTATATAAGGCCCAATCCAACTGTCAAATGGATGACTGCTGCCCACAGATTGACCAAGAAATGTGGCACTGTCAGTTTAGTGTCACATACTCACTGCCTGAGCACAGGGCTGAACAACAAAGGACTTCACGGCTGTGCTATAAGAATCGGTGTTGTCATCCCCTTCGCTTTGCTTTATGTAATCAAATCTGGCTCAGTTGGGAAATCTGGTATCTATAGTCAAACTGATGTATAAGATTCTTTAGTTTTATGAATCATTAAATGCCTCCAACGCACTCAGGCACTTACTTGTTAATGTAACTTGGTAAAGGAGTTAAACTGAAAATGTTAGGTGCTGCAGCCAAATGAAATTCAATAGAAATAAAAGCAATATCTCTGTACCATCATGAAAGCCAAGAGAAAGTTCCTTTAAATTACTTATAATTTTTTGGCAACACATTTATTACGTAACAAAATGGATCTAAACCGGAAACATAAAAAGCACAAGACACTCACCTCTATAAGGCACAGGAATTGTTCCAGTGAGGTTCATTAGTTCCCTGGAGCTGCCATCATTAAAAACTGAAAGGAAAGAATAAGGACTTAAACACAAGCATTCCAGTCTATGAGACACTCCCACAGAATTGTTTTCAGAAAGACTGGTTAAAATTCATCATTAGCTTAGAAAGGGGCTAAACAGTTAATGTAGCATCCATACTGTCTAATAACCAAGAATCCTTTGTTGATTCACTCAATGGTATCGGCTTTTGAATGAGGGAAGAAGGTGCTTGGAATTAGTTGGAAAAATGAATGTTAAGTGATAGAGTCCCAGCAAATGCGAGCTCCTGGTCCTCACTACCATGATTATAAACTGTTTAAAAATCACCACCAAATGACACCATACTAACTGTTAACTTCGTATCATTACATTTTAGAACTCTCCAAACATTTACCCCCCCACTTACTATTATTCTCAATTCCAATGTTGTATCAAACCATAGTATTAAAAATAAAAAAGGGGGTCAGCCTATGGCATGGTTAAAGTCACTGGATTCCACATGGCCGACAGCATGGTCTGAGTGCCTAAAATCCCAAAAGGAAGGAGAACAGAATAAAAGGAACTATGACATGACATTCCCCATGGTGGGATGCTTTCTCAATCCCCAACCCCCATCTCTATCTCCTTCCAGAGAGCAAAAGCACCTTCTGGCAAAATTTTAAAAAACAAAAAAAGGTTTTCACAAATAGACATTTATTAATATGTACTTCTCATACCACATGGTTTCCTATCTATAATGAATTGATTAATTAGATCACATAACAGAGTGGTCTTAAAAAAGTTCATGGAAAATGCATATAATGAGAAAACTGTAAGGATTTCAATTTTTTGCACCAAAATAAACTCATACTTTAATCCCATTTTTCCACGAACTTTTTAACATCCCTCTGCATTTTACATCAATTGTAACAATGACTGTATTGCTCAGAGGAAAAGCTGCAATGAACAGTACAGGGACAGGGCACTGCAGTGTTGACCTCATTCTTTAAACTTACTGTTGACCACTGTAAACTGCACGGCAATTTATTCTGATTTTGATTTTGTGCATTTTTGAGAAACCACCTTCTTTAAATTTCAAGTCTTTTTTTTTAAACTCTTAGTTTAGACTTGTTTCAGCCATACAAAGTTATACACGATTTGTCTGATGATGCTGGACACTTTGTCAGTTCTGATCAATATATTTACTCTTTGGGAATATAATAAAAACCATACACTAACAGTAAAGTTCTAGCCCCAGTTAGGTGTGTACCATTGCAGTAATTTGTTTTTCAATCTGGCTAGATTTTTTTGTTTGTTTTAAACTGTCAGTGAGTGCATGCACTCATGGGGTGGTGGTGGAGAGGGTTAGATAGAAAACCTGAACAGTGATGTGACCATCCATCCCATCAGAATTTTGGGAACATAGGCACACATGCCCAATGTGCTCTTTCTTCCCTTTTTTTCTTTCCTTCTTTCCTTCCTTCCTTCCTTCTTTCTTTACTTTCTTTTTTTTTTAGAGATTTTTGCTATAGGGTGCATGCGCTCACCAGAAAGAGAGAGAGAAAAGACACAGAAAGTGAGAAATCACCCTCCAAGGGGATAGCCATGCCACAATCCCTTCTCCATTCTCCTCTCAGAATTTTCGGCATGCACAGACACGCCCAGCCTGGTTTTCAAGCTGCGGGGTCCAGGACTTGAACCACAGTCAGCCATGTGGGAGTCCATGGCCTCAACCACCACACCACCAGCCTGCCTGCCCAGAGCATTTTTCAAATAGCTGGTGCCCGAGACTTGAACTGTGTGGTTAGCCACGTGGGATCCAGCTCCTTTTGCACAGGACTTCATCACTAAACATCATTTAAGCCATTTTAGAATTAACTTTAATTATGACAGTAAGAGATTTTTTGCAGATCAAAAGTACTGGTTGAGTATCCCTTATCTGAAATGCTTGTGACCAGAAGTATTTCTGATTTTTTGGGTAATACTTGCACATACACAGTGAGTCATCTTGGGGATGGGACCCAAGTCTAAACATGAAATTCATTTATGTTTCAGATAAAACTTACATACACTGCCCAGAAGAATTTTTGTAGTGCAGGATTTGACTGTGACCCACCACCTAAGGTAAAGTGTGGCATTTCTCACTGGCGGTGTTGTGTTGGCATTCACAAGTTTCAGATGTTGGAGTGTTTCGGATTTCAGATTTTCTAATTAGAGCTGTTTAGCCTGCACTATAGTACGTATGTGGACAGAAAGAAGGTAAGTCAAAACGAGGAGAACTGTGCCCGAGCTTAGGGAGAGGATGTCCAGCTCATGTCTCTCGTTCAGGAAACAAAGAACTGATTGCTCTTCTGGTGCTTCCTGCCTCTTATCCCCAGGCTCCTCAAGTTTTCAGTCTTAGGGGTGATTAGAACTTAGTAAGCCTCAACTACAAAACACAGTTCCTTGCCATAAAAGAGAAGGGCCTCTCTAATTGGACAGGAGACAGCATGAGTTTTCTCTTGGCTCTAGTAAATCAGGTATTTCCAAGGAGACAGGACTGAAGCAATTACATTAAAATGGGTATAGGAAAGCCTGTTTTCTAAAAAAGGAAAAATCCAGGGCCAGGAGGTGGCATGGTGGTTAAAGTGCTGAATTCCCACAGGGTCGACTATGGTTCAAGTCCCAGACTTGGTGGCTTACTTTCTCATTTTCCCTTTCTCTCTGGTCAAATTTAAAAATAATGACAACAAATAAAATTAAATAAATAATTCTTTGAAAAAGGAAAACTCCATGTACAGTCATTTCATACTTAAATCCCACTTAAATTTTGTCTTAATAGGAACTAGAGACAAATTGCCACCAACCTACCCTACATAACATAAGACCATATTAAAAAACATTCCCTTATCTGTAAAATGAAAAGGACAGTCCAATGAGGGCTCGGCAGTTCAGTAACTTTAGAATACACTGCACCTTCTCTTCTCTCTTCATGATGCATAAACATTAGCATATTAAAGGCTCTGAAAAACCTTGCTGCAGTGAAATCTAATTTTGTTTAGTCTACAGTCGCTCAAATTTACCACAGGATTCTGCCTCCACCCTGGACCTGTTTAGCTCCCAGCAAACATCCTTTAGATTTAGGGGGGGAGTCTGTGGACATTTTGGGAAAAGACATTTATCTCTGATGTCCCCTTCTATATCTAAACCTGCTTAACTCTATGTTAAGAGTTTTTCTTTTAAACTTAAAAAAACCAAGCAAATATAAAATGTTATTATTAGATCTTATAATTTCCTATCTGTTAACACTTTCACTAAGTGAAGTTTCGTTCAGTCCTACAACTGAAAAACCAACAGACTTAAAAGAAAAATTACAATCATTAACAAAAAGAGTAAAAACTCACTGGTATTTACATTGCATAAACTTACCATATGAGTCCAATACAGGTTTGAGATCTTTGTACAGAGTAATAACATTGACAGTTTCACGTACAGTTAGGTCTCTGTATTTGTACTGAAAAGTAAAATCAGAGAAGAATGTGATTTAGAATCAATGCACATATTTTATTATTTACTTATTATTTTCTTAAAATTTTTTTAAAGCATTCTTCTTAAAAGTGTAATGGTTTTCACTAATCATTAATACTAATTGAAGTCTGAAAGAACCTCAATAGCTTTCTTTCCTGCCATCTACTTGAACCCTAGAGCTACTTACCTTCATTTTGACTCTTCTGTCCAAACAAAAATGCGCCCCCCCCCAATCCTAACCATTCTCCAAAACCTAGATATAGAAGTGGATATTAAAAAAAAAAGGAGAGTGGGAGCAAGGCTTGGCCCCCCTGGCTTGGTAGTTAAAGGAGTGGGATCCCAAATGATTGACTGAAGTTCAAATCTCAGTGGTTTGAAAAACATATCCAGGCACATACACATGCATGCCCAAAACCCCAACAGGATTAAGAAATGGAGAAAGGACTGACGCACGAGTACATTCTTCCTCTCTGTCTCTCTCCTTCTGGTGAACAGACGTGTCCTCTGGCAATTAAAAAATAAAAATGTGTGGGACCAGCAGGTGGTATAATGGTTATGTCGCTGGACTCCCACATGGGACTTCCATATGGCTGATCACAGTTTGAGTCCCAGACCTCCTGGACCTGGCAGCTTGAAACACACGCTGGGACTGTGTGCATGTGTGCTTGAAATCCTGAGAGGTTAGTGGAGAAGGGATTATGACGTGATCCCCCTGGAGAGTGATTTCTCGCCATCTGTCTCTCTCAGTATCTCTGGCAAGCGCATACACCCTATAGCAAAAATCTCTAAAAATAAATAAATAAATAAGTGAAAGTGTGGGGGTAGAAGATGGAATAGTGGTAACATCACCAAATTCCCACATGGTTGACTGCTGTTCAAGTCCTGGACCTGGTGGCTTGAAAATCATGCTGGGCATGTGTGGATGCGTGCCCAAGATCCCAGGAGAATGGAAAAGGGACTGAGGCATGGCCGTCACACCTGGGGGATGATTTCTCACTTTCCCTCTCACTGTCTCTCTCCAGTGAGTACATGCGCCCTATGGCAAAAACCTCTTACAAATAAAAAGGAACAGCAGGTGGCATGTCCCTGGACTTCCATGTGTCAACCGCAGTTTAAGACCTGGATCTAGAGGCACAAGACTCATGCTGGGAGGATGTGTGTGCATGCCCCAAATCCTGACAGGAGAATGGAGAAGGGGTTGTGGTGTGGTCATTCCCCCTGGGGCGTGAGGGTGATTTCTCATTTTTCGTCTCTCTCTGTCTCTTGGGCAAGCACATGTGCCCCATAGCAAAAATCTCTCTTAAAAAAAAAAATTATACACACACACACAAACACACACAAGCAAAACCAAAATATTCAATAGAATAGTTAGAATATAAAGTAAGGGGCCAGCATGTGAAATGGCACTTAAGGCACTGGATTCCACAAGGCCAATTCTGTGGTTCAAGTCTTAGACCCAATAGCTTAAAAAACACGTCAGGCATGTATGCATGCATCCCCAAAATCCTGAGAAGAAAATGGAGGAGAAACTGTGGCATGGCTGTTCCCCTGGGGCAGGGGGAGGTGATTTCTCCCTTTCCTTGTCTCTCTAGTCCTTCTTTCTTGGTGAGCACACACATGCTCTATAGCAATAAATAAATAAATAATAAAATAAACGAACTTGGAAAAAATCTACAATACCGTTACACTGAAATAATCACTATTCTCTTAATATTGTCAAATGTCTAAGGTAATGCCATATGTATTTTTTTTTTTAGTTTGTTTGAATCAGGATCCAAATAAAGTCCACACATGGCAATTTGTTAAAACCTTCTTTAGGACTCTCTTAATACACAGATTAGCTTAGCCACCTCTATCTGTTACAGCTTTATTGAGATGTAATTCACATACCATATAATTCACAGAAAGTGAACAGTTTAATGGTTTTTAGTATGTTCGGAGTTGTGCAACTACCACAATGTATTTGAAAATATTTTCATTATCCCGAAAAGAAAGCCATACCCTTTAGCAATCACTGCACCTGCACCCCTCCCCCATTCCGCTAGCCCTTGCTTTCCCCCAAGATAACCACAAATCTACTGTCTGTCCTTAGATTTGTCTACTCTGGATATTTCAAATAAATGGAATCATACAATCTGTGGCTTTTTATGACTGTGTTTGTTTAACATGTCTTCAAGGTTCACCCATGTTGTCGTATGTATGAGTATTTCACTCCTTTTTATTGCTGCATAATACTCATTATGTAGATATGTTACTAGTACATTTTATCTACTATTCAGTTGATAAATAAGCAACTGATGGGTCATCTTTATCTTTACCCCTTGAAATTTATTTGTTGGAAAAAATCTGTTCATTTATCCTATAGAGGCTCCCATGGTTTGTAACTCACTAATTTCATACCTTGGTATAGTTTAAAATTTAATGTACTGTATATGTGGGCCAGCAGATGGCGTGGTGGTTAAGGTGCAGGATCCCACACTGACTCTGATTTGAGTCCCAAGCCAGGCAGCTTGAAAAAACACCCCAGGTGTGTATGCATGTATGCCCAAAATCCTGAGAGGAGAATGGAGTAGGGATTGTGGCATGGTCATCCCCCTAGGAGGTGATTTCTCATTTTCTCTATGTCTCTGTCTTTCTCGGGTGAGCACAAAAATCTTAAAACAATAAAATAATACTGTACATGTGTCTGAGACTTGGTAGTTGGACCTAGAAGTTATCCTCATAATTTAAAGTAATTTTTTTCCTCCTTTCACAGATCATTTCACAGATGGTGTTTTCCAATCAGGGAGCACACGGTATCTGGGTAACTCTGTGATGTTACTACCATTGAATACTCCATGTCTAGACCCATTCCCTTCAATCCTACTCCAGTGAGACTTCTGCACCCACTTCAATGGAACTGTACCTCAAGGACACCAGCAACTGCCACCTGGTACACAGTGGCCAGTTCTGGCATTGGCAGAATTTGATCATATTGATTCCTGCCTCTTAAAACATGCTCTTTGTTTGGTTTCCAGGACACCAATGTTTATTTTCCTCCTCTCTGTGGTCGGTCCTTCTCAGTCTCTAGGCTGGTTGTTTCTTCTCTCCCAACCAGTTAATATTAAACCCTAGACTTCTTCAGTTCTCCGTCCTCATCTCCACCTAAACTCACTCCTTTGTATCTCCTCATGGGTTAAATACCACTTATACGTTGATAGCTCCCAAATTTAAACTTTCTAGTCTGAACCTCTTTCCTGAACCCCAGACATGTCTAACTACCAACCAACCTGACATCTCAGTTGGCTATTAAATGAATGTCAAACTGCATATGGCCCAAACTGAGCTCCTTACCTTCCCCCAATTTTACCCTCCCTCCATCTTCCACTCACGTAAAGGGGACCAGGACAGTAGCATAGTGGACAGACAAGATATTCTGTGAGGCTAACCCATGTAGGAAGATTCTGAGTTCATGGCTAGAGACATTCTTGAGTGCGCCAGGCAGACCAGAGCCGTGATCATGATCCAGGGCTGGCCAGAGCTGGGGTTAGATCACAACATTAGGACTCTGTTGGGGTGCTCTCTCATGAAAGAAATAAAAAGCTTAAAAAATGCACACTATAAAAAATTATGTGTGGATTTCAAATACTTGCCTAAAAATAAACCCATACTTTAGTTCAATTTTCTTACAAACCTGTTTCAAGTATCTTCACATAAAACAACCTAAGCCAGGGTAGGCAACCTAGTGAACCACGATGGGAGTGGAGATCTCGGTCAATCAGGAGTATGGGGCCATGACCTTCACCCTGCTGATGTGTCCAGAGTCCTAGTAATCCTGCATCAGACCACACCCAACAGAGAGGATAAGCGACAAGCTACCACTATGTTAGGAAGAAGGAGCTCCAGGAGCTTTTACATTTTTATCCTGCTCACTATTCCTACCTATTCATAGCTGATACTCAGAATCACTAATACTTTTAGGTTTTCAGAAACTAAGCCAAAAACCCAAAGATAGATAGGATGCCCTCTCACACACGCCTCTTCCTTATCTCCTTTTTTGTCATTGGGAAACAAGGAGGTTGGGTGGTTAGGGGAGGCAGGAGGAGGTATAAAATATTTTGCCTTTTCTTTGATGTCAGGTTCCCCTAGAGGAAATTTAGGAAACCTAATTAGTGCTTTAAAAGTCAACCAATATTTGAGTATTCTTGTTCCTTATATAAATACATACACATCAAGGAATAAGCCTTAATGACTATGCTATCAACTTAAAGAACAAAAATGTCATGAAACGGCTACTCTTCAGTTACGAAGTGAAACAGTGGATATATGTTACAACATAGACCTTTACATGGGCCAGATCTTCTAGGGTCCTCCCCCCAAAGTCCTCTGTAATTAAGGATAATCAAGATGCCTAGGCGATATGATTAGACAACAAGTGGAGCTTTGTTCTGAAAAGTCCTTTCTCCTTTAGAAATTATTTGCTCTTCTATCAAGGACACTGGGATAATTTTGCCCTGAAATGTCTTCTTAAACAAAACCTTTATACCTAACAGGGTGCTTCATTCTAAGTTTAAAATCTCTTAAATCTATCATCCTTTCTTTAACCAAAGCATCCAAAGCTTACCCTCTGAAGGAGACAAGTCCGCTTTACATGTTTCTCATTCCAGTTAGTTTTGGTCAAAACAAAAGCCACTTCAGCCACTTCGTTCTGGTGTCTGGAGCCACATATGAAGTAATCATTTTTTAAAAAGCATGGCTTTAAAATGCAAAACGCCCAACTGCTTTTTGAATAATGATACTAACAACACAAAAAACTCCATCCTTGAACTGTGAAGTTGTAAATCCAGTTCAAAACAAACCGAAATGCGTTACAGGATGCACCCAGTTACTAGTTGTGACTCTCAGCAAATCCCCGAGACGGTAATGGGTTCTACCTATTTCACCCGAGGTGGCGAGGGGCTGCTGTTCGGGCGACGCTGGACGTTTTCCGATCACTGGACCAATGCA